AATTACGATCATAAAAGTCATTTACTTTGGAAGAGGAAGCATATCATTCAATTGATAATTGAGAAAAGCTTCAGTAGAAAGAAACGTTATTCCTAATAATACTAAAAAAATACCGATCCATTGTAAATAGATAAAATCCCAAATAGTAATAAAAAGAATTCATATTTTACGAAAACGTCAACTTACCATTCAGTTGTAACTCACCATTCAAGTGATATTTCAAATAAACGTAAAAGAAAACAAAAAGAATTATTTTTTATTTCTATAAAAACTTCATATTCAATTGCTATTTCACATGAATCTCAATAGACTAAGAAAAGAACTCGTTTTTTATTAAAATAAAAACTTCTCATCCCATTGTTATACCACATAAACCTAAATAGAAGATAAAAGAAAATTTGCTTTCATTAAAATAAAAAGCCACCATTCCATTGTTATATCGAATACAACTAAACACAAAAGAAAAGAATCCTTTCAATAGTACGAAAAATTAGTAATAAATCAATATTTCAAATAAATCTAAATAGAAAATAAAAAGGACTTATTTCTTGTTAATGTTAAAGCTCACCATTTAATTATTATTTGTACTAAACCTAAACAGAAAAAAAAAATTTTTTTGTTCAACTGAAATAAAAAGTAACCACTCAGGTGTTATATCAAATAAACCTACATAAAAAAAAAAAAACAAGAATTGATTTCTTATTAAAATGCAAACTCATCATCCCATTGTTATTTGAAATAAACCCAAATAGAAAATAAAAATAGTGTTTTTTATTGAAATAAATTCTCACAAATTCAATCGTTGTTTTAAGTAAACCAAAATAGGAACAGAAAGAATTCATTTGTTCTTAATATCAAAACATATTATTCAATTACCAGTTTAAATAAACTTCCATAGAAAACAAAGAGCAGTTTGTTTTTATTTCAATAAAAAGTCGTCATTCAATTATTATATAGAATACACCTAAATAGCAAATAAAACAATTTCTCTAATAATATGAAAAATCACCATTGAACTACTATTTCAAATAAACCTAAACAGGAAAAAAAAACAGTTTATTTTTCGCTAATATGAAAGTTCACGATTAAATTACTATTTGCAGTAAACCTAAACCGAAAGCAGAAACAACTTTTCTTTCAATTCAACTAAAAAGTGACAATTCAGCCCGTATATAAAATAAACAGGAAAAAAAAAGAATTGATTCATCACTCACATAACAACTTATCATTCCATTGTTGTTTCAAATGAATCTAACTACAAAATCAAAAAGACTTTTTTTATTCAACAAAATACTCACGAATTTAATCACTGCCGAAAATAAACCAAAATACGAAACAAAAAGACGTCTCTTTTCATTGAAATAAGAACTCATCATACCATTGTAATATCTAATATACCTAAATACAGAAGAAAAAAATTTATTTCTCATCAATAAGAAAACTTAATCTCTTATTAAATGAAATCCAACAAGACAGAAAACAAAAACAGGATTGGTGTTGGTGCGGTGTTGAATCAGAAGACAAATAGAAACAACAAGCCCAAATGCTACACGCACAACCTAATCCAATGGAAAGTAACATTGGAAAATAATCCATTACATTCAAATAATATATAATATCACTTGATGATAAGAGATTATATTTTTTTGAAGTATAGTGAGTAGTGAACATGAGAAATCATGTAATAAAAAAAATTCAAAACAATATAGTTTACGAAGAACCTTAGAACGATATTGCAAAGTAATGCATTACACTGCATTATATTAAACAGACCTATAATACTAAACAGTAAGTATAATGTTATTTTGGAGCAAGAGATTGTAGAGTATTGAAAATATGGATACTAAATACAGAAATATCACAGAATAAATGATACGATAAAATGTACCTTGAGACAAACATATGAACATGATTGAAGAATAACTGATTACCGTGTTTTACATTTCCATACCATATAATATCCAAAAAAAAAATTACAATCATTTAACGATAAGAGATTCTATTCTCTTGAAAAAACATTAATATTGAATAAACGAATACTATAGAATAACCAATCCAATACGATTTACTCGATATTGAACATAACAATAAAATCGAAGAAAGTTCCATTGCAATGTATTATATTCCACTAGCATCTAATAAAACAAAAAAAAATTTCATTCGATGGTAAAATGACTCATTTTTCTGCAAAATAATGAAAAGTAGTTATAATAAACTAACAAAGCAATAACATCTGTTCAATGATGCATATAAGAATAACATTGAGAAATTATGAATTACAGTATATTATATTCCAATAATCTATAACAAAACAAAAAAGAGCAATATCATCTGATGAAAGAAGATTCTATTGTGCTGAGAAAAGATAAGCGGTAGATATCATACAATAAAATGTGCGACGAACTAAACATAATAGCAAACATGAGAACATTATTAAAAAATAATGCATTAAAAAACATTATATTCCAATAGCATATAGTGAAACAAAAATAAAAGATAACATTTGATAACAATCGACTGTATTGTCTTGAAAGCTAATGGAAAGTCAATGTCCTATACTAAAACTGAAAAAAAAACAGCTATACCTGAATAATGAACATAGGAAATTTAATTGAAAAGTAATGAATTATAACGCATGCTATTCGATGAATACATAATCGAAAAAGCAGCATTATACCATTTGATGGAAACCAATCCTTTTGTATTAACGTTGAGATAATATATGCGTTACAGTGAAGATGAAAATCACTCGTATGACCAGACAGTAGCTAGACGGCTCACCGATCCTACAAACTTTTGAGCCTCCGTTAACAAAATCTTCGATACATGTATTTTACCCATAAGAGCGCCTCAAAAATCCGTAAATGCACACTGAGTCCCTCTTAACGAAAAAAATATATGTACCAACAATTATATTACTGGAGCACACTCTCTTTTCTCCTCAAAATCCTGCATCCACACTGCTTTTAACTATGATATTCTTGAAGTGTATGTCTTTTACAAATATGCAAACAAAACTTGTAGTTTCTTTCACTTTGCTAATTTCGAAGCATACTACTGAGGTCGCTGTATCAAATATCAGACTCGTCATTTAAAGTTCAAAATTTTTTCTCTTTCAAATATCTTAATTTTTCCATGTGAAACAAATCAATCAACCAGTTATTATTTAAACATTCTAACATAATAATATATTCAAATTTATTGCAAAATAATTCTAAAGAAGCATCCAAATACGATTCAAACACAAAATGAAACATTAATAGTGATCTATATATATAATGTTCAGGGTGTGTGTGTGTGAGTGTGTGTCTGTGTCGGGTCAAAGGTCAAGGATCAATGGTCAAGGGTTAATGGTCAAATAAGGCTATAAGGGAAAGATGCCAAGGGCTATTATATGGAGGTATCCATAGGTCCTCATAGGCTATCCT